TTATTTTTAGAAATAAAAAAGTATTGTTTTTGCCTTTTTATATATATATTTTATCACCACGGAGAAATAAAAGGGTTTAAAGAAAAAAATTGACAATCCTGGACCCATTTAAATCTGCATGTGTACGGTAAGTTGACCCGTTCCACAGAGGAAAGAGAAAAAATTGCCCTCTCTATTCTACCCTTCCTACAAATGCTCATGGAGCAGGGAATTTGAAATGGGAGAATGATTTTTTTTCTCCCTGCTATTATATGTTTTTAATTTAAAAGGATACAACGAATGTACTTAGTGTGATTGGTTATGATCCTTGCTTTTCTTTAAAATGGTCATGGTTTGAATCCCAGTACATTTCTTTTTAATGAATAAAAAAAAAGTAATTGTGAAGACCAAAATGTCCTTCCTACATTCACTCTCGTTGCAGGAAATTTGAAATGGAGCTCCCGTTTTTCCCTTCGGCGTATTATATTATGTCTAGACTAGAGATGCATATGGGACATGGAGCCACTCTCATGGGCTTACCCGTTCGTCTTTATGGGCGGGCTTCTATCTATCTACACTACTTATAATACATTTTAAAGAGTTTGATTTGCTCCATTTCAAATTTCCTACAACGAGAGTGAAAGTAGGAAGGGTATTTTCGTCTACACAATCAATTTTTTATTTCGTATAAAAAGATATCAATGCTAAGATTTGAACCATGGTCTCTTCAACCAAAAACAAGAATTGTAACCAATTAGACTAGACACATTTGTTGTACTTTATTAATACAAAACATAGAGAAAGTTAAAATTATGAAAGAAAAAGTACTTTTCTATCATGGTTAGTTAGCCGCTAAGTCTATTGTAAGTATTTTGTGGTGTTTGATACTTCTATTTTCATATTTTAATAATTAATTTAGAATTTTTTCTAACTTATAAATGAAGGATAATCTTAAAATCTCAACACAAATATCATTGGTTTGAATATTGCACATTGAATTGAAGTGTTCAATGACGACATAAGAACACTGGTACCATACATTTCAAGAAATATAAACATGACAAACACCAATACCAATTATCTCGACAGCCTATGCTAAAATTCGAAATTGTTTAATCATTCAATTTGAATGATAGTTTAGTCAAATCAAACAAATAATTCACGATTGTGTATGAACAAAAATAAAACATATTATTATCTTATGAAAAATATATTTATTTTAACAATCTAAAAAAAAACAATCAAAACTTCCATACGACCCCTTATTTCAATAATGTAATTAATGAAATAATTTTTATCAACATGATGCAATGTTCAAGCTAAGGTCCAAGTATTAATCACCAGTATAGTATTCATCATAGTTAACTATTTCAATATCCACAACTAGCTATTAATGGTTACTTGCCTTCTCTTAGAGAGTTTAATGTAGCACTCTCATGCCTAGCTACGCTCTAAGCATTTGTTTTCTTTTTCACAATATCATTTGCAGTTATTTATTAAATCAACTTTGTTTCTAGCTTTCAATTCCTAATTATTCACTTCTTCATACCAACTTATGGGAATGCTAAATATATTTTCATGTCTAATCTATTAAACATAAATGTTGTTTATCACTTAAATTCAATGCTATCCATGTTAGGTTTGAAATCACCAACATATTCTCCCAATTTCTCCAAAAAGCATAATATCTTGCGATTGATATCATAGTTTCGTTAGGTAAAGTTCAACAAACTCAATCAATATTCGAACTCTTCGAAATAGCTATCTACATGCGAATATGAAGTACTAAGTAGCTAAAACTCTACTTGAGTTAGTACAATCTTTTGCGCTATCGATTCCAAATTCAATACATGATTATCTTATTACAATTTAGTCATACTAATTGTGCAGTAGGGGACATCTTATCAAAATCTTAAAGAAAGACTCTTTGATTGATCACTTTCATGATGTAATCAATTATACCAAAATAGAAGTGATCAAATTTATAAGATACACTCAAAGTTTGCTATAATTATTGAGGTTCAGCAGCACGTTAGGCGTACGGCGGTCATTGGGCATTTGTCTATCTCCTAGCTCGCCTAGACATGCTTAGACATTATAATAAAAATAGCAATTTTAATAATAATGAATAAAATAACGGTTCTAAAGCACTTTCATACTTTAGTTCAAATGATTTAACAGCAAACAAAATAACTCTCAAGTTTAAAAATTATTTTCTTTTACCAAATGATATAATTAATTCATTCGTGAGCTGAAATAGCTAATTATAAACACTTCAAATTTAAGTTAAAAACTCTATATGATGCAATTGTTTGACGAATTGGGCTCTATAACAGAGTAGTTCTATCGAGAGAGGTCTCTAAGAAACATGGCTTACTTTATTATTCCTTAGGTGGATATAATATCTATCTTCATCGTTACTTTTACATTAGATTCAATTTAGTATACTTTTTCATTTAGATAGATTTTTTGATGATGTTATGGAATATAATATATCATTATATATAATGGTGTAGGATATTAATTCTTCTCATTTTAGGTTCAAATTGATGGATTCCCCCCTTTACCGTTCCCTTTTATTGGTTAATAATTTTTATGATATTTTTCACTTTGAAATATCGTGAGCGGAATCTATACACAACAATTTGTGTTTTTCCGCTTCTTCTTCTCTTGATTAGATATTGTGTCCATATTGATTCCTATATTGATTATCGAATTACCACTTTTTTGTTTCTTTTTCTTATGCAAGATATGATTTTATGTTTGATAATATAGATTTATTTTTCAAGCATGTGGATGCTTGAGACTTTTTCATTTCCTTCATAACATACATTTTACAATGGCTCCAAACTCAGATGGGTTTCTATTCAACACATAAATTTTTAATGATGTAAAATTTATGAAACTAAGATGCATATTAATAAACAATGTAAGGTCTCATCTTCCCTCTTAAGCACTACATATCATTGTTTACTTTCTAACACATTAAATCAAAGTCTTTCTAACTTGAGCAAGAGCTACAATGACTTTTATTAACTTTCACTACTCATATATCACAAGTGTTTAAATCATTATCAAGTGTTCATACAATGACTTTTATTGTTGTGGATTTCCCCAAAATGTTAGGTATGTTGCTTTTAGTTTTTGCCTTATTTTCGCTTCGATTTAGTTTTTTATGTGTTGCTCTATTAGTTGAACTTGCCAGCTGGACATCGGCATGCTTTGGTTCATTATATCATTGAATACACAAAAATCAATGGAACCATGACTGTGTCAGTTAGTTTGTTTCTTTTTAGGACACTCTAAACATATACTTTGTTTCATTATATCATTGAATACACGAAAGTTAATGGAAAAGGCAAAATAAATTATGGTATACTGAAGATTGATTATGTATGCTTGATGTAAAACAACTCTTATCATTGCTTTTCTCAGACATTTTTATATAGATACGACTTTGTTTTAAAATATGTATTTATGTTAGTGTAGTTGGACGTTGTTTTTCATTTTTTAAACTTCATTAGTCAAATATATTAAATACTTTCCTATATTATTCATGGAGAACTTACCAAATTAAATAGTTACTTCAATCCCCAACAACATGGACCATAAAAAAATATATACCTCAATGTTTACTACACATACACATGAAAACCAAACTCTCCTGGCCAAGAGGTCGGGCCTAATCTAGTTTGATGTAATGGGCTAATTCAATTCACAAAATGTGTCACCGACAAATCCTAGTTGGTAGTAGGGAGAGCTAAAGGCGTAGTTCGTTTTCTTGTTTGTCCAATTTCGACTATTTTGTAATCTATGTGTTTGTTCATTTGGCAGATGTGTTGATCAGATTTGTGAGCAGGATGTGGCCCATGGAGCTGGCGGTGCGATTTTATTTGCTCGACATCGGAGTCTTTTGTTTCTTTTGCTTGCAATTTTACTTATAGATTGTAGTCATTGTACAACAGTGCTGCACATTTAGATTTAGTGGCTACTAATGCCCTTTCATTGGTAGTTTGACCAGTTGTCGATTGCCGCGTCTGGTTATCTAGCGTCCTGTAATATCCTATGATTTACCCTATCTATGACAAAAAAAAATGAACTTTTTTGTATATAAGTCCTCAAAATATTGATGAAAAATTACATTTTAATACCTAAGATATTTTGGTCATACATTTTGATACTTAAACTTTGTAAGTTTTACAAATAAGTCCTCTTTTTGTATGTGTGATTAAAACACCCTAAAGTAAATGGGTATCCATACCCAACCCATATACATTTAGATTAGTAAAGCAATATCCATAACTTACCCAAACTCATCTACAAACCCCCAAATCTATATTTCACCCATACACTACCCATTATCAATCTGTTTACTTGAGTTTAGATATAATTATCCATGAGTGGGTAATTGTCATCTCAAATACTACGAGAACCAACAAGTGGCAAGATGAAGAGGCAAAAGGAGAAGAAAGAAGGGCCACAATAAAAAAATGAAAATCTTAAGAGAATAAGGAGCTAGAAGAGGAAAACGATCGAAACTTCCTGAGAGAAGAGGAACAGGTGCCCTGAAAGTAGGGAGAGAAACAAGACTCTCACCAGGAGAGAAGCGTACATAGGGATGGCAATGGGTCGGGTTGGGTCGGGTTTTGCCAAACCTAAAGTCAAACTCATGAGTTTATCCGTGAAAAAAATCCAGAGTAAAACCACTGGGTTTGAAAAATCCAAACCCAACCCAACCCGTTGGGTATCCGCGAGTTCATGGGTACCCATGGGTTTTTGTCGTAAAAAATTTACAATAACAAGTTCCTATCAAAATTAAAGTCAAATATCAATTTGTCAATACAAATTATTCATATATAAAATAACATTCTAGAAAATTCAAGCAAATCACAAAATACTATACAAATTGTTGAACACCAATCTAGAAAACTTAAGAAAATTGAAGCAAATCACAAATTATTCATAAATAACATGATTAATTGAAAGCTTCTTCTTTTCAATTAAGTTTCTTCACTCTCCACTCGATAACATCAACTTCATTCTACAGAATTAGAAAGAAAAAAATTAGATATGTCTCCACAAACACAAATAAGATTAGTTGTTTAGAATATTAAATATACCTTAAAAATTAATTATATGGTTGTGGCCGGATACCCATGGGACGGTTTTACCTAAATTCAAACCCAATCCAACTCGGTGAATAGTGAACGGGTTTAAACCCAAACCCAGCCCAAAACCCGTCAACACAAATTTTACCGGCGTTGACCGGATTGGATCGAATGAGTACCCATGGGTTCGGATTTTGTTGCCATCCTACGTGCATATAGTTTGGTTACAGGCATTGGAGGTAGATGTAGTGATCAAAGGAATTTATTTGTGCTCACAAAACTCATTCAAAAGATATTGGCAAAGCCCTCCTCAGCATATAGGATAACATCATTATTTTCTGGTCTGCAACAGGATATTTTGCCAGAACACTAACGATTATGCCAATATCCCTTTCCCGTCACCAGCTCGCGCTGCACTCTCACCTTCCTATTTGTTAATTAACACTGCACTTTATGGAAACTACAACAGAGACAACCCACAAAATTGAGATGTAGCAACTCATTGCCAAAATTGATTCCCTGTCTATATTGAACTTACAAAGTAAAATATCAAATTACTTGGGTCTTCAGCATTGCTTCTACATGTTGCATGGAACACCGCGTCCTAAGAAATCGCAATTATTTAATATTCAGCCTATATACATTGTATTAGAACTTAGAACACGCAGAGGAAAGGTGGATTAATAACAATGAATATGCCGAAAATTCACTTACAAGTAGATCGTGCTTGCCAGTTTGGACTGCCTATATGGAGTTTGAAATCCAGCCTTGGCAACCAGGCCTCTATTTTGAAAAGACAAGCCCTACATCTGTTTTCTATGCAAATGATTGAGGGACAAAAAAGTATATGCTCTATGCAACTTCTTGTGAACTTGCTAGCAGAAAGATTTTTGCTATCATTGCTAAAAACAAAAAACAAAAAAAAACGATACATGTTCATGGTCCAGAAGATGGCATACGAGCCGCGGCCAGACAAATGCCAATACCTTCCCGACTCATTAGCGCTGTAGAATGACTGCAAGTGAAGTCAGTATCATTCTCCACTAATCATGGACCACAAAACAATAAGCAAACAAGATTACCATGCTGACTAAGAAGGTTTCATCTTCCCAACTCGTGTTATCCGCCTCAGCTGCTGTGTTCCTCTCCTTATTTCACTTCAAATGCACCAATGGATTAGGTAAAATGTTGCAGAAGCTTAAACAACGGTTGAATCTAAGAAAAAAGTAAGTACCTTTGGTGCAGATAAACAATAAGGTAGAACAGAGGGAGTAGCATTAAAGACAATATCGAGATAGCCAGGTAGAACACGCTGACTGATTTCTGCAAATTTCAACAAGGTGGAAGAAATAAAAAAAAATGTAGGTGCATACACCACAAGCCAAAAATAGGTTTTTAGTGCCCTTGGGAGTTAAGACTTACCTTCCCACCTTTAGGGAAAATTTTCTTTTTCCCTGAGCAAGTCAAAGCATCACAAAATTGGCGCAGAAACAGTTCTACAAATGAAAACAGGATCATATGTAATATGTAAGGCAACCACCAGCCATAGAAATAGGTTGACATAATAATACAGGGAAAGCGGAGAATAATCGCAGTAATAGGCAATACCATGCAAGCGAGCTGCAGATGGGCTCAGATTAAGAGGGAAACATCTGTCTGCAAGACTCTGTATTGTCAAAGTAAATGGTGAACAGATCATCATGAGAGGTGATGCAAACAAGCATACTTGTGACATGTACCTCACATAGATGGCGATTCTTTGCCGTGGCAGCAAGGTTGCACCTGGTCTTTTTTACTGACCTGGAGTCCATCACATGATCACAGTGCAGTGCACCGCACAAGTCAGCTAAGCACTTACCATCAGTCTGCACATTAGAGGTGTTAACACACTTCAGTCCTATGGTCCTAAAAACCGGTACAACCTATATGGGATATAAGGATAGAACCCACAACTGAAAAAAGAAACTGTACGGGGCTTTGAAACGGATTATGAGACAAAGGACCCCAAATTTCACATACAACATTTAGACGATCGAAGTGCCTGTTGTCAAAATGCTGATCTAGATATTTTTCAGCGCGGAAACTTTTCTTACAGTATCCACACTGCCACTGATTGAAGTCATAATTAATCTTGTGCTGCTCTTGATCCCTGAAGAGATCATTACTGGGATGAAGTCTACACTTGCTGGGAATCTGGTACCTTTCTTGCTCAACAAACGGCATCAAATACTAAGCAATGGAAAACATCAGCATCAGACAATCATAGTCAAAAGTGCCGATATAGTGCATGAATGGAACAAACAGAAAGCAAACTTATGCCAAATCCTTAACACCCCACCCACCTCGTCTATGACTTTCCAGGCAGCCCTGCTTCGTTCTCTAGAGCAATGCACTTGGAGTTCGTGACCTGATTCCGCCTCAATGCTTCTACAACGAGGGACCAGATACTCAATTACAAAGCTAAGCAAGTTGACGAGCTGAAGAAACAAAACTGGGGAATTCCCATCCAGCAAAACCCTAGAAAGCTGCTTACCTTTCGCCTCCGATCTCCCCAACTTCCTGCAAGAAAAAGAGAACATGGGCATAAAGAAAACGAACTGATGGAGGTCTGAAGCTAAATCATCACACCAATAAGAAAAGAGCGCAGTTTCTTTCAAACAATTGGATATCGGAATCGAGAGGGGAAACAAAAAGGCTGCTGCTTATCTGTAGCCGTAAGGAGTCGAATACCTGTGAGAAGGCTTGCGGGAAGGATGCCAAAACAAAAATAAGAATCGCAGCCAACATCGTTAGGATTCTCTCCACCTAAAAGCCCCACCGACCGAGCTATCACTTTTACTGGCTGTATGCCCGCTCCGGCGAAAGACTCTGCCGCAGCCTGACCAATATCTATTGTCCCGGACTCCCGGCTAAGCTAGGAGGTGTTTGAGGTTTGAGAGAGATGCCCCTGTGATTGTTGAGGCTGTGACCAGTGAAATATACATCGCTGAAATCAGCAGGAAGAGTGCGTAGGAAGAGAGGAGAATAGCTGCATAGGTGGTTATAAAAGGTTCGAAAGGTGCATAACTCTTTCGACTTCTGATTTGTTTTTTTTTTTTTTTTGACAAACGACTTCTGATTTTAAGTGGGGTAAAATTTAAGGATTTTTTCGCCTAAATAGTAAATACACTAGTTCTTAAGAAAATTTTCAAAAAATAATAGTTTTTATAAAAGTTCATAATCTACACATATTTTCAGCAAATTGTTGGTGAAAAAAGCGATCTATATATTCATTGCTTGAGAGGAAGACGATCAAAGGCTAATTACATTACAAAAAACGATGAAACATACATAAAATAGTTCCCCCGAAAACGATCAAAGTATTATATCCTACCTAGACAGCATTACAGTAGAATCGCTATTGTCACAAGCGACCAATGATAAATCGTTGTACTCAACCGCGATTTTATTTGAACACGAGATTAGGGTTGGTGCATCTGTTTTTTCCACGAGGCTATGATTGATGCAAAGGTTTTCATTTGATCAACTTTTTTGTCAAAGAAATCATACTAAATCGCCTTTGTATAACGCGATCAATATCATGCATGAGTTTAGGTTAGGTGTAGGTACCTAGGCTTGATCGCCTTTGTCAAAAGCGATCTTGTCTTGATATGAATTATAAAAATACTACCCTTTCATCCTAACTCACTCTCATTTCCCCCTCTTCTCCACCTTTGTAGCAGAAGCTCCCATCTTCTCCACCTACTTACAGAAAACCTCATAGCCAAACTAGAACTTCGTTCACTCATTCTGAGTACAAGGTATGTATGCATTTGTTTAGTATGATCATGTTTAAGTAGTTGTGTGTTTGTGCTTCACTAATTACGCATCGTTTTAATTATGCTAAATATTCGGAGTAAAGCTGAATGTATAATGGCTTATGGTTTTGGATGTTGTATGCGATCATGATTTATTTTCAATTGCAGACATGAATAGATTTTGAAAGTTCCAGCTTGTTATTTGATGGAATGGTGGGGTGGCAAACTCTCAAAATGGAATCGGGTATGAAGACTGTGAATCCAGTAAGTTGAAGATTGAGACTGGATTCACGTGGCAAGAACTATATGACATTTGTTCATAGAGGGTTTGTATGGTGGGACAGACAAGAGGAGGGCTTCGTGAAGATAAAATTTGACGCTACTGTTCGTGATTTCGGTTGGAGGGCTTTTTATTCTGACGGTTCGCCTTCTTCTTCTCAAACCGGGCAATAGCGGATCAGAGGAGCAAGGAGTTTTCTTCTTCTCCGGCCGGTATTAGAAGACTGTTTCAAGGGAAATTGCGGAGGTTCGTCTTCTTCTTCTCCAGCCAGTGTGGCATGACCGTTTCAAGGGAAGCGATGGCGATTCTCAAGGAGGGCCAGAAGGTCGCGTCAGAGAAAGAAGGGCGAGGGGTAGTTTGGTTAAGTTTCCCATTTGAAATTCAGTTTTGGTGAATACGATAATTTAGCTATTCGAATTAGAAGACAATTAGTAATTTTAGCATGACCTTTAGGAGTGGGCAATGGGCAGGTTGGGTGGGGTTTCGTTTCAAATTGACCCACCCTTTTACTAGCGAGTTGGAATAGTTGTGACCCCTAGCGAGTTGGAATAATTGTGACCCGCAATCCACTCACATTCTTCTGCGGGTCTTGTTGGGTGGGTGTTGGATGAGTGTGGTTGGGTTGTGGGTTAACCCACAAAAACAATTCTCCAACTAACCATTAAGAAAGTTGACTGACATTTATAATAAGTTCATAGTACATTAGTAAGACTATATCAATTTAAACACTTATCACTTTGTCTCAAGTGATTCCATGTAGTATTTGCATAAAAAATTTACTACTCTATCAACCAATTGTGTAGAGAAACTTACGCATTTCGTGACTTAGCCACCTACGTGCTCAACGTTTAACAGTCGAGTGACTTAACACATTAAATGATGGGGTTAATTGCATGGTTGGTCACTGAGATTACAAAAAAGGTTCAAGTTTGGTCACTCGAAATATTTAAATCCATTGGTGGTACTTCAGTTTATTGATACCGTTCACGTTTGGTCACTCTCCGTCCAACTCAGTTAACTTTTGCTTACGTGGCGGTCAACTCTAAAAGTTGATCGTTAAATGTGTGACGTAGCAATTTAAAAATAATAAAATTAAAATTTTCAAAATTACCATCTCATTTTCACTCATAATCACTTTTATTTAAAATAAATAAAAAACCTTAATTTCTTTTAATTCCCAATCCATACCCCACCCTTTGGGCAGAAGGTAAAGTGCCATCCCTTCTTATGCCTCCTTTCCCAATATCCTGTTCTAGTGATTGGCCACTTCTGAGAGTTATGAGAGGTATTATTCGAAGGTGGCCTAGAGAATATGGGGAGCGGGACAGCAGAGGAAGATGAGGAAGCTGCTGATGGTGATTGGGGGTGAGGAACTTGAAATGGTCGATGCGGAGGACTTCCAGAATGGTGATGTTACTGCCGTTTTGGAGGGTGGTGAAGCGGATGGAGACAATGATGAGGAAGCTGATCTTTGGTCGAAGTTTTCCGGCAGTCGCCCAAAACTGAAGAGGAAAACAGGGGGAAAATCAAGAAGAAAGGAAGAGGAAGGTTCCATGACCAATGCAGGAAAAGCAGGCCAAAGCGGGTTGGTTTCCGCTTGTGAAGGAATCCTCCCAGACGACCGTTGCCATGACCTGCTGCCCACAAGCACAACCCCAACCCAAAGACACAGCTCAGTTACGTTAGTTAGTGAGTACCCTGAACAACAAACTTCCACTAATTCCATTCGAGTTTCTGAACCTCAAATGCTTTACTTACATGTTTATTCTGTCAAGTGCTGGATCCCCTCTTTTTTGGGAGCTTTTGCTTCTCGCATCGTTTGCTTTGTTGCCTGAAACGCTGGCCTGGATATCTGGTCCCTGGCGGCCACCAGTGCTCGCAGAAGTTACATTTGGTTGGAGCTGTGTTTTTGCCTCGGTTCATGGCACTTGATGCCTGCAAAACCACATTCGTTATCAATAGATCCTAAGATCCCCCCACTCTTGGAACTTGCAATGGAAAAGCACTGCAGATGGCGGAGCAATTGGGTCTCATGCTGGTTCGTATTTCAATTTCTAAATACCAGCGATGCCATAATGCACCACATTGAACATTAATGGTTAGAAGAAATTAGGGTTTTTTATTTATTTTAAAATAAAAGTGATAATGAGTGGAAATGAGATGATAATTTTGAAAAAATTAATTTTATTATTTTTAAATTGTCACGTCACACATTTAACGGTCAACTTTTAGAGTTGACCGCCACGTAAGCAAAAGTTATCGGAGTTGGATGGAGAGTGACCAAACGTGAACGGTTTCAATAAACTGAGGTACCACCAATAAATTTAAATATTTCGAGTGACCAAACTTGAACGTTTTTTGTAATCTCAGTGACAACTGACAACCATGCAATTAACCATGATAATAATTCTTTTGCGGGTAACCCTAACAAATCCGCGCATGGGCTACCAAAACGACAACGTAACAATATGGAGGAGACGAGTAGAGAAGAGGGATGGTTTAAATGTCCGTTTATTGAATTCAGCCGTTCTTCTCCACTCCCACACTTGATTACTGAGAAAGCAGGCTGCTGGTGGCGGCAGAAGGCGAGGAAAGCAGTTGGTAAAAGAAAGGAGCTTGGGGGAGTTGAGCAACAGTATGGGGAAGAAAACGAAGAAGCCCGGGAAAGGAAAAGAGAAAACCGAGAAAAAAACGGTTAAGGCAGAGGAGAAAAAGGCTCGCAGAGAGGCCAAGAAGCTCTCTCCTGAAGACGACATTGACGCCATTTTAGTAAGATTACCCTTTTCCAGTTCGTTATTTTTTCCTCTTTCAATCGAGTTGTTTGTCATAATCTGGCCCAGTTTTGAGCTTCTTTCGAGCGGCCTCGGGGTTTTAGTGCTCCTTGTTAGTGGAGCCAATTCATCGGTGTGAATTGAATGAGTGAACTTCAATAAGAGTCAGTTGAATTTCTTCTATTCACACTGTGTATCAATTCTCGGCTGAATCTGGAACTGATCTCCGTTCTTTGTAGTTTGTCCTTCGACTTCCTTTGAAATGACTGGCTGTGCATATGATTTTTTAGTTGAGCATACAGATAGAGGATGCAAAGAAGAAGGAAGTCCTTGTTGAGGATAATGTCCCTGCACCGTCACCTCGATCGAACTGTACTGTAATGATCTCCAGTACTTGATTTTTGTTTTGTTTGCTAGATGAGGTTTCTGTTACCTTGCTTTGATGCTTTATGACTATGGTGGTTTCTCTATGGTGCAGCTGAGCATTAATCCGTTAAAAGAGACTGAATTGATCCTCTATGGTGGTGAATTCTACAATGGCAGCAAGGTTAGTCTTACATCAAGATTGCAACTTTAAGCTGAAGGTTCGATTGCGTTGATTATTATGAGCTGTTGCAGACATTTGTATATGGTGACCTTTACCGTTATGATGTGGAGAAGCAAGAATGGAAGCTGATATCTAGCCCCAATAGTCCACCTCCACGGAGTGCTCACCAAGCTGTTGCTTGGAAGAATTATCTTTACATTTTTGGTACACATTCCATGATGAACTTGGGCTTATTACTTTTAGTGAAAATGGATGGTAAGACTTTGCCTTACCAAGTGTGATGAAACTTTCATGACTAGGTGGGGAATTTACATCTCCAAATCAAGAGCGCTTCCATCACTATAAGGTGACAAATGTGTAGTAATGCATATATGTAAAATTGCAAACTGGGCCTGTGGGGATTCAATGCAGAACAGCGCCTATGTCTTTCTTTGTAATAGGACTTCTGGGTGTTGGACCTCAAAACCAATCAATGGGAACAACTTAATTATAAAGGCACCCCAAGTCCTCGCTCGGGTCATCGAATGGTCAGTAATCTTGTTTCTCATTGACGCATCAGCAATATAAATAGTAGAAGAGCATAATTTTGCATTTCCCTTTTTTGTGTATGTTAAGATCTTATTGCCATATTAAAGATCACAACTACTTAGCGCAATATCTTATTGTCCTGGGTTTTCGTCCTTTGCCTATTTATGCAAGTGAATTACCAAGTGAAGTAGGTCATTAGCACTTAAGGAGCACTATATGTCATTCTACTCTTCTGTAATGGCTACATCAAATCTTCTTATTGCTGTATGATGTATTCCTTATCAGTGCAAACATGTCAATTGGGATTATGTTTTTTTACTGGTTATTGACTTACTACTTTATTCACCCATGAATTCAGTTTGTTTCTGTGCAATTATAGTTCCAGTAAGTGAATATTATTGAATTGTAACTATTGAATTATTATCTTAATCATCCTTAGTTTAGTCTGTCACATTTTTGAATTTGTTTCCAACTATTGGGTTTTTGTGCAGGTCTTATACAAGCACAAATTAATTCTTTTTGGTGGCTTCTATGATACCCTCAGAGAAGTAAGGTTGTTAATGTGTCTCTATATAATCGTTAGAAGCTTGATAATTGATGAACTCATTGGCCAATTGCTGGAGTAAACTCATTTGTTTGTATCTCGCAACTTCACTAGACCTCTTCATTTCTCAATTTCGTTGACTGCTTTTAATAATATATTTTTCATAAATTCATTACTTTCTGCATGTGCACACAAGGGATAATGCTTATAATCTACTCCTACAAGGTGAATGAACTGTGCACAACTTGGTTTTTGGCTAGAAGCGTTTGCCCTGTTGGTTAAAAGGGATGTTGTATGATGAGTGTACCTGGATATAATGTCCCCCTATCCTTCCCTCTCCACTACATCCCGCAGTACACTTGGTTGTAGACATTTCCAAAGCTAACCCCTACCCGATCCCTGCTGAGCTAAAAGGATCAAATCCTTATTTCTTATTCCAATTTTCTAGCATGCTGCTATACATGCAAACATAGAAGTATTACCGGCAGGGGTGGCCAATAGGGGGTGCCCGGAGGTCCTTCGACATAGGCCCTCCGAAGTCCGAATATTAGGGGGCCTCCACCTAGATGTGTTAGTTAATCCAATCGTACATTATAGGTTGTACTTATGGTGTATGATTAATTGATTATGTGTCGATTTGGGGTTTAATTTTATTAGTTAATACTAGTACTAGTCATTGGTCAATATTTTCATGTATATGCACGAGACACGTATATAATGGTTGTTAAAGTCTTATTTGTGTGATGAAAATCCTATTTCTGTGAAAAATGGCACAATGAAGCATAAATGGATTAGCTATGGCAATGATTGAAAAGGATTTCATGGAGAATATCAAAATTAGAGAGCTAATAGATAATTTTATTTCAACTATGTTAGAAAGATACTAATTTTTAAATAACGATGCTAGGATCATTTTCATTTTATTATACTTAAAAAATATTTTGGGCTACACCTTAATTATGGAACAGGGCCTCCACTGTCCATTGGACGAGCCTGATTACCAACATTACTGTTTGGTTGATGAGTGAATAGATCAGATGGTTAATGAAGTAACTATGAGCTTTAATGTTATATTAAAATCCACTTCCTTGTTTTAATCATTTTGCGACCTTTTATACTCAAACATCTGGATCAGTTTTATTTTATTAGGGCTCATTGTCTAATGGGTTTCCTGTAACTTGATTGTTGAGATCTTCATCCACTTCACCATGTGTGTTTCATAATTCCGTTCTCTTCTTAATGACGAGCTTATTTGTCATGGGTGGTAGAAAACTAGAGATGAAGATGCAGAAGGCATGCTTCCTGCATGAGATGCATAACTGCCCATTTGGAACCCTGGCATTCTTTTAAACAGAGTGAAGCTTAAGTGTATCAGTCTTGAATCCTGATCAGTTAAAAATCTAATAGGATTTCTTTGTGGTGATCTTGTTTTGGTACTTCAAACTATTGACTTGTTAAATCATTCCAGTGATCAGCCATAAAGTTTGTGTTCATGCCATCCTGCCCGTTTGTGCAGGTATTACAATGACTTGCATATCTTTGACCTAGATCAGTTCAAGGTGAACATTTTGGCTGCTAATCTGTTGGTTAAGTTATTCTTTTATCAGGCAAGATTATGTGGTTGTTAATTTCCCCCCCCTACATTTATGGGTGGTTGAATCTACAGTGGCTAGAAATCAAGCCGAAGCTTGGAGCTTTATGGCCTAGTGCCCGGAGTGGTTTTCAGTTCTTTGTTTATCAAGATGAGGTAAGTGAAATAGGAAGCTAATTTCAGTTAGTCACTTTCAGCTATTTTAGTAATCACCTTTTTTGTGTGATTGTGCTGGCTTCTGCTGTTAGCATCCATGTCATGCCCTTTGTTAACTTGCATATTTAGTTGACTCTTGATTAGTTGGTTGTCTTCCATGGATTTGGCATGTCATTTTATATTCACTATGAAGTAGTCTTCATGGATGGATTCAGACTGTTTGATCTGTTTTTATCTTGCAGATCTTTTTATATGGTGGCTATTCGAAGGAGGTTTCCTCCGGTAAAAGTAGCACAGAGAAAGGAAGTGTTCATGCAGACTTGTGGTCGCTTGATCCAAGGACTTGGGAATGGAACAAGGTAATAAAAATCAAAAGTTATATTTTGGTTTCAGATTTGATCTTTGAGCAAGAATACTAAATCTTTTTTCTCTTTTAATTGTGAGACTCCACATGAATTATGTTTCCCTAATCACCTACTTTCAATAATGTGTGTACATGTATAGGTAAAGAAGAGTGGGATGCCTCCTGGTCCTCGTGCTGGGTTTTCAGTATCTGTGCACAAGAAGCGCGCTGTAATGTTTGGGGGAGTGGTCGATATGGAAATGGAAGGTCAGTATCTTCTCGTGGACGTTTTTGGTGTCACATTTGTGCTCTTGCATGGAACAGATTTAGAGAAAAGTGTTTTGACTTATAGATGGATTTTGAGTGCTTATCTGGCATTATGATCTTTGTCGTTCTAATCTCCTGTGAATTGGCAATCAGTTAACTAATACTCAGTATCTTTTGGCATCTCAATTAGTTTGTTATGGACTTTGTCTTCCTTCTTCCTTATCTTGGCTCATGGTTATCTTTCCTCTGTTCATGCAGGTGATGTAATGATTAGCTTGTTCTTAAACGAACTCTACGGCTTCCAGCTAGACAACCACAGATGGTAATTCTTGCCTGGTGTTATTTTTTAAATAGTGGTCAACGTTATTTAACCTCCTTTATAAGTCATTGTGCTTGACTATAATTGGTGATCAGTTGCTTCCTTCTTAGTTCATACAGAAATTCAATGTTAACGTAAAATATTATTGAAAAATTATGTTTTGGTACTTAAACTTTTATGACATTTTAGTAACTAAACTTTTCCAAATTTACATGTTGGTCCAATGTTTAGATGCCACTTGGATCCATGATCCAATGCGCGAATCCATTTGATACAATCCATTAGATCCATAGATCCACCAATCCATGAATCCAATCCATTTGCCACCTCTATTCTATACCCTTTATGTCCTCTGTTCTTCATTTGTAGGAGGTTTTATTTGTGCTTCTGATGCTCAACCATGCCATGTTTTCTGGTCGTTACAGGTATCCCTTGGAGCTGCGCAAGGAAAAGAATACAAAAGATAAGGTACGTCCATGCAATTTTAGCGAGCATGGACTTCTTTCTTGTTAAAGTTCTTTATCAATTTTTGGTATATTGCCTGATATGTTGGCAAACTAATAAGTAGGATTTTGATATTTCTTTGCAGTTGAAAAAGATATCTGAATTAAGCAGCAGTAATAATGAAATTGAAGACTGTTCTAATATGGAAATAGATGAGAGTATGGAAGAAACCGATAAGGAAGCTTATGCTGAAGCCAAGGTTGATCTCATCTCTGAGAATATGGGTACTAGCTTGAGTGTAGCTGATGCAGGCTCTTCAACCACTAAGTTTGGCATAAAGGTTGACAAGGCCAAAGTGGTGCAAAGTTCAGCATTCCCTGAGGTTTGTCTATGTTAGAGTTGTTGTCTCTTGAATTAAGAGTGCAGCTGAACTTTAATTTCACTATACTTCCATATGCACTAGGTTGTGAAGCCCTGTGGACGAATCAATTCTTGCATGGTGGTCAGTAGAGATACATTATACATGTATGGAGGGATGATGGAGATTAAAGACCAGGAAATAACACTTGATGATTTGTATTCTCTCAATCTCAGCAAACTTGATGAGTGGAAATGCCTCATACCGGTTCGTCATGTTCCTGTCATTAAATCTAATTCATTCTTGTGCTTTATGGATTGGACAGATGTGCAAGCCTTTGAAATGATTTTAAGCTTCCTTGCATTTCACTTCCATTTTTCTGGTAATCTAAGCTTCTATCGCCAGACAAGTTAATTTGTTAAGAAGCCCTAAGGAAATTGTGCGTTCTATCAGCTTTTTTCATGATATGTAGCTGCAAGGTTCTGGTTATTTAACGCACGTCACTTTTGGTGGCTCCTTGTTGCCCGCCCGAATCATATTTAAACAATCATCCTTTGGTTTTCCTGTACAAAATTATGTATGCTGGATGGGAATCTGACTCAAATACACATTTCTTTCAATTTCGGACTAGAATGAGTTGTGTTTAGCATGACGTGGGTGTGCCTTTTCCATATAGCCATCTGAATCTGAATGGGTGGAAGCCTCAGAGGATGATGATGACGAGGAGGATGAAGATGCTAGTGATGAAGAGGACAGTAAGGACAGCAATGTAGATGACTCTGAGGAAGATGATGACGAGGATGATGTCACTGAGGTGTGTTCTCTTCCTTTATCAGTCAAAAGCGGGAATGTGGATTGTTATTCCTTCCTTACCTTCTGTCTGTTACTTTTTCCCTTGAGATAAGGACATTCTTCCATGTATACTTGTACCAACAACTACGAGCATGTTGATGCTATGTTTTTTCAAATTCCTCATATTCCTTAACTTGTGGATGGGTAGCAGGAGGGCAATGATGTGTCTGGATCACTTCAAGTGGGAGATGCAGTTGCTATCATAAAGGGTGAGAAGAAAAATCTTCGAAGGAAGGAGAAACGAGCGAGGATAGAACAGATAAGAGCTAGTCTTGGCCTTTCCGATTCACAAAGAACTCCAGTGGTATTTGTGATTTTTTAGTTTGATCCTCCAATTTTTATTCTGCTAGAAAAAAGAAAAATATGAGCTTCATTCTCATTAGTCTTTCTCACGCATTGCCATCAAGCAATTTTCTTTCCTGTGAGGTGAGCATGTACCACTCGAAATCTAATTTCGTCACTTTTTGCCAATTATTCTCTCTGAAGCCTGGAGAGTCTTTGAGGGATTTCTATAAGCGGACGAATGTGTACTGGCAAATGGCAGCACATGAACATACTCAACACACTGGGAAGGTCCGTGCGTCCAACTTGCTGATGTGGAACTTATGCTTAAGCTCAACCTTGCATGGTAATATTAAATGAACGTACAGCAACTCATATTATCATTTTTGTGGTGAGCTTGCAGGAGCTTCGTAAAGATGGGTTTGATCTTGCTGAAGCTCGATACAGGGAGCTTAAACCAATTCTTGATGAGGTACCCTTACCCTTTTCTGATCCACGAAGTTTAGAGAGCCTAATTAAATCAGGAGCAATCCAATTTGACCTAAAATATTTCATTTTTGCATAAATGCAGTTGGCCATTTTAGAGGCAGAGCAGAAAGAAGAAGAGAAAGAAGAGGGGGAAACAAGTTCCAGAAAGAGGGGCAAGAAGAAAAACAAGTCTAGTTCCCTGCAATAGACTCATCAACCAAGAGCGTTTGAGAGGGTGAGGAAAAATTTAATTCAAGCGCAATCTGTCATCCTTTAAGCTATGATTATGTTTGTTTTCTGGAAGAATTTGCAAATGGTTAATGGTAGAGTACTGGGGTAAGGGTCAGTTTCGAGGAAATCAAAGCAAAATTAGTGCAGCTTGTTACCAAAATCAGCTTGCTAGTACTTTTGTAAGGATGCCTGTGTTAATGTGGCACACTGTAGACCCAAATGTCCAGACTGATGCAACCGAAGCCTTCATAGCAGGAGCTTCATAAGAAATGAATTACTGTTCTTGTGACACCAAGTTGATGTTCGAAGTATAAATCATAACTATGAGTTGAGAGGACTGGTTATGAAGAAAGATCTTCATATTGTTTGCTGTACTTGTGGTTGCTACGACAGCACAGAACAAAGGGAATGAATCCTGTCTACAAGCAAGAGAGTGGAAGACCCCTGCAAACCATAACGTTCTAGTAATCCTCGGTATCCGGAGGAAGAGTTCTCGACAACATTGCCTGTAAGTAGTGGTTTAAGGACTACCACCGTGGATGTTGGCCACAAACAATCGCATCCCACCAGTGTTTTATACAAGCTCGTGTAGTTCCTTCGGTCAAGACAGCACGAGAGTTCATCTTACGACACTTAGATCTTACCATTCTATAGTACAAAATATATTTTTCATTTGTTCAAGGAACAAAGTGAAAGCAACTGAAACTCTCACCACTCCATTGTCCTAAGATAAAGTTAGTTCATCAATGCATACACGTTTCCTGTGCCAGTTGAACAGCAATCTTGGACACGACAATGTAGGTACTACGTAAAACAGCCAGTTGCCATAATTAGAAACAGAGCTAGGCATCACACTATTAGAGATAAAGAATAAAATTCTTTATCCTTCTTATTTTATTATTTTATTCTTTCCCACTTGTATAACCACTCTTCCACTTTCTGTAACTTCTCCTTAAAACTCTGAACCACTTCCCTGTAAACGTGTATATAGAGAACAGAATATCTGAATGCAAATTATGAATCGATTGCTATCAATTTCTTCTATTCAAATCTCTCAATCTCAACATGGTATCAGAGCTAGCAACGGTCAGCTAGTATCGATCCGATTTCAACCCTCTTCTTTTTTTTGGCATCTTCGGCCACTCTCTGTTCTCTGAGCACTCTCTGTTCTTGAAAATATGTCCTCCACAGTCGATACCGCTGCCTCTGCTGCTCTCCCAGTTATCGTCACGTTCAATCCAGCGGCGCAGCTACCTCTCAAGCTCACTCCGACTAATTTTGCCTCATGGAGATCTCAGCTCGACACACTACTCATGGGGCTTGACCTGTTCGGCTTCATCGATGGATCCTCTGTTGCACCTCCTCGCACGATCACTGTCGAGGCTGCCTCTGTTCCTAATCCAGCCTTCCAATATTGATTTCGTCAAGATAAGCTCATCTTGCACGCTCTGCGTTGTTCAATCTCTGAATCTATTTACTCTTTTGTGTCTGCGGCAGCAACGTCACGCGAGGCGTGGCTGGTTCTTGAAAAGTTATACGCAGTAATGCCCAATCTCGTGTTCTTCACTTGAAAACTCAGCTGGCCAAAGTCACCAAGGGCGACAATGAAGTCTTAACCTTTGTGAATGATCTGAAATGTATAGCTGCTGAACTGGCGCTTGTGGGTGCGCCGGTTTCTGATATGGACATGGTGGTCCTCTGCCTCCGTGGTCTGGGAGAGGAGTACAATGCTTTTGCCACGGCGGTTTGTGCTCGCGGCTCGGGACTGACGCTGGAGGATTTGGTGGATTCCCTCGTCGAGTTCGAATCCGACCTCAAGGTGCAAGTTCGCACCTCTGTGCCGACCGCCTTTTTCACCCATCATCAGCAGCGGACGACCGGCGGCGGCTCTTCTCAATCTCGTCCTCAGCGAGGGTTTCAGGGCGCTCCTAATTTCTCTCGCCAACAGGCCCGCGCATCTCCTCAGCGGGCTGACTATTCAGGTCCTTCTATTCGGGCCCAAAGTCCACAGCGGGCCACCCTTTATAATGGGTCTTCCTCAGCAGGCCCTTCACGCAGGCAGCCCATTGTCTGCCAATTTTGTGAGAGACAGGGCCATTCGGTTCGCCAGTGTTTTTAAACTTTTTCCTCAGGCCCGCCAGGATTATCAGGCTCGCCAGTCTCAGGCCCATCACACTATTGCTGGTCCAGCTGCTTCCTCTAGCCCATGGTTACTTGATTCAGCAGCCTCACATCATGTCACGTCTGATTTAGGCAATTTGTCACTCTATTCTGATTACACTGGTCCGGATGAGATTCAAGTTGGCGATGGAACAGGTTTGCAAATCACACATATTGGATCCACTAATCTGCGTTCCTTGTCATCTTCCTTTCATTTACATGATGTGTTATGTGCCCCTGCCATCAAGCAAAAACTCATTTCTGTTGCCAAGCTTTGTCGTACTAATCCCATTTCGGTGGAATTTTTTGCTGATTGTTTTGTTGTGAAGGATCTTCGCACGGGGGCGCCACTGCTGAAAGGGGAAAATAATGGCGATGTTTATGAGCTGCCCAGTGATGTGGACAATGTTCGGCTTGCCCTTGTCACAACTCGTACAACTTCTGAGTCCTGGCATGCTCGTCTTGGTCATCCCTCCGCTCAAACTCTCCACAGTCTTCTTCGTTCCCATTCGTTGCCAGTATCGTCCTCCATCGTCAGTAGTCATTGTCATTCCTGTCTTTCAAATAAAAGTCACAAACTGCCATTTGCCATGTCTTCTTTGACTAGTACACGACCATTTGATTTATTGTATACGGATGTTTGGGGACCGGCTCCGGTTCCCTCCTTTGATGGTTTTCGTTATTATCTAATACTCGTTGATCATTTTTCCCGTTATACATGGTATTATCCCTTGAAAAATAAATCTGATGTGCTTTCTGTGTTCCTTGATTTCCGTACAATGGTCGAAAATTATTTTTCCACCACCATACATCGCCTTTATTCTGATGGAGGTGGTGAATTTCAGAAACTATGGTCTACCCTTGTTCGTCATGGCATTACTCATCTTCTCACACCTCCGCATACCCCTCAGCATAATGGTCTTGCTGAGCGAAAGCATCGTCACCTTGTCAAAACTGGTATAACACTTCTGCATCATGCTAAACTTCCTACCATGTTTTGGTCCTTTGCTTTTTCCGTTGCCGCCTATTTAATTAATCGTCTCCCATCCTCTGCACTGCGTGGCCAAATTCCTTACACAATGTTGTTCAACCTTGCTCCTAATTATCATAAATTACGTGTGTTTGGTTGCCTTTGTTATCCTTGGTTACGTCAATACTCTGCTCACAAATTGGACCCTCGTTCTCGTCCGTGCATTTTTGTTGGGTACTGCCCTCAACGCAGCGCCTATAAATGCCTTGATCCTACTACCCGTCGTATTTTTCTCTCTCGTCATGTCCATTTTGTTGAGAATTCCTTTCCTGGATTTTTGGCTAACCACACTGCAGATTCCCCCTCCGTGGACTCTTGGTTACACGACATGGGCCCCAACATTGTCCACCTTCCACTCACTGGGCTCCCTCCAGCTTCCCCTTCATCAGCAACTGGGCCTCGGTGTGGAGGATCTGCCCCAACAGCTCAATCTGCCGCTGGGCCCGTCCCCTGCCCAGCTGGGCCTTCTTCTCGGCCGGCCTTTGCGCCCGGCTCTGCTGGGCCTGCCTCCTCTGTTGAGCCCACGCCTGCACCCGCGTCTGGGCCCACTGGGCCGTCCACCACAGGGCTAGAGATATCCTCGCCCCGGCCTTCCACAACCCAGCCTGATGTGCCTCCCCCGATCATTCGCCCGCATCGCATGACTACGCGGGCCCAGGCAGGGATTTATCGGCCCAAACGGCTTTTCCCAGCCCTCCACACTACCTTGTCTCGGCCCGTTCCCCTTGAGCCTCGATCCGTCCAGAAGGCAATGCGCTATCCTGAGTGGGATGCTGCTCTGCGCAGGGAACATACGGCTTTGCTTCAAAATCATACATGGGATTTAGTGCCGCGTCAGCCGCATTTCAATGTTCTTGGTAATCGCTGGGTTTATCGCCTCAAGCATCACTCTGATGGGTCCACTAATCTCTATAAAACGCGTCTTGTCGCCAAAGGTTTTCATCAGCGTCCCGGGGTTGACTTTCAGGATACTTTCAGTCCTGTGGTCAAACCGGTCACTGTCCGCACAGTCTTCACCATTGCCCTTTCTCAAGGTTGGCCAATCAAGCAGTTTGATGTTAATAATGCCTTTCTTCAGGGCCCGCTTACTGAAGAGGTCTACATGGTACAACCCCCTGGGTTTGTTGATCCTCAGCATCCTACCCATGTTTGTCGTCTTCGTCGTGCGATATATGGTCTTCGTCAGGCTCCTCGTGCTTGGTACACTGCCCTCAGCACCTTCCTGATTGAGTTTGGTTTCCAGAAGACGCAGTCTGACGCCTCCTTATTTGTGTATCACCACTCCGGCGTTATTCTCTATTTTCTGGTCTATGTTGATGACCTTCTCCTCACTGGTAATGATGCTTCTACCATTGCCACATTTCAGCATGCCCTTGCTAGCCGTTTTTCACTCAAAGACATGGGCGATGTTGATTACTTCCTGGGCATTGAGGTCATCCCCACGACCAACGGCTACGTTCTATCTCAACACAAGTATATGATTGATCTCCTCACTCGGTTTCATATGCTTGATGCCACACCAGTCTCTACTCCGCTCGCTGCTTCTGTCACTTTGACTCTTCAGGATGGTCATTCTCCCACTGATGCTACTCGCTATCGCCAGGTTTTAGGCGCATTACAGTATCTTGTGTATACTCGCCCTGACATTGCTTTCTCTGTGAATAAGTTGTCCCAGTTTATGCATTCTCCTAGCTCCTATCACTGGCAGTGTCTTAAACGCCTACTTCGCTATGTCTGTGGCACGCTCTCTTTTGGCCTTGCCATCAGCCGTACGAGTCTTCCACTACGACTCACTGCCTTTGCCGACTCTGATTGGGCGGGTAATTTGGATGATCGGACTTCCACATCTGCGTATCTCTTATACTTGGGCTCCACCCTTATCTCCTGGCGGTCTCAGAAGCAACGCACTATTGCTCGTTCTAGCACTGAGGCTGAATATCGTGCTATTGCTCATGCTACTGCTGAAGTCGAATGGGTGCACAATCTTTTGACCGAACTTCATCAACCCTTATCTTCCTCGCCTGCCCTCTTCTCCGACAATCTTGGCGCTACGAGCTTTAGTTCTAATCCGGTGTTTCATTCCCGGATGAAGCATTTGGCTCTTGATTATCACTTCGTTCGTCAACTGGTCCAAGATGGTCGCCTCCTTGTTCGCTATATTCCCACAGCTCAGCAACTCGCCGATGTACTCACTAAGCCACTCGCTGCTCCGCGCTTTCTCCTTCTTCGGTCCAAGATTGGAGTCGTTGATACGTCCTCCATCTTGCGGGGGCGTATTAGAGATAAAGAATAAAATTCTTTATCCTTCTTATTTTATTATTTTATTCTTTCCCACTTGTATAACCACTCTTCCACTTTCTGTAACTTCTCCTTAAAACTCTGAACCACTTCCCTGTAAACGTGTATATAGAGAACAGAATATCTGAATGCAAATTATGAATCGATTGCTATCAATTTCTTCTATTCAAATCTCTCAATCTCAACACACACTACGGTCCTAATATACATGTCCTAAGATAAGTCGACACCATGGAAGTGATATTCTGGCAAACTACCCTGCCAATTCACCCACATGGTGGCGAATGATGTGAACGGCATAGACTCCCTCGCTGCAGTTATCAACACTGAAAATGCATTCATCCCCAACCCGAATATCATGGTCGACGGCGAAAGCTTCCCATCCGTACTGGAGTGCAACTTCTGTGTTCGATGTTCGGAGGTAGAGTACAGGCCAGAGTCTAGTTTTCGGATCCTTCAGCATCACCACCGTCCTTTGCGAGCTTAACCTTTCACCTAGCAGTGGCAGTGGTGCTGACAAATCCTGTGTGCATAGATATATGGAAGAGTAAAATTTAACAGAAAGTGTTGACAACAGTCATATGTCTAGGCAAGGTTTACTTACCAAGTGAGTCCGGGTCTCGTTCGGAATAATATATGAGATCTGGGCTGAAATCGGTGTAGGAGGATTGCTGCCGAAACATATTGGTTCAGGTTTTAGTACCGCCATGGGTACCATTTCAGTTTTCCTCATCCGACTGCAAGTCGAATCAACCTTCATTTGCATAGAATCAACCTCATGTCCTGCAAGTACACAGAAGAAAAGGAGATCGCAGACTAAACCAAAGCAGGTTTTTGAGGCTTTGGAGCTGCTGAGTTGCAGGGAGAAAAGGAAAGATAAAGCAGTGGGGTTTTTGGACTTCTGTTTTTCCTGCTCTAGTTCTAATACTCGCAAGAAACTGGACTGAGTTGTTCTTGGGTTTAGGTTGAATGAAGATTGGTTTAATTTCACAATTACTTGTATTTATTACTGAAGGGAGACAGGCCTTCGGCGGGTCGGTTTTAAAGTTAAATAATCAGCCAAAATTGTGCAAACGGACCATCTACCCTAGGAAGTTCCCATATGGGGAAGCCACTTTGATTTATTTTGTCACCTCAACTTCTTGTAATTTAGTCTAATTTTGGTTGATTTACCACAAGTTTATTATTTGTTGATAGGTGCCAAATTTGTTGAATGTAGACTCAATGAATTTGAAAATCTTAATTATTCTTTTATAATTTGGGGTCGTTTGATTGTTTGATTTGAAATTGAGGATTTAAGTTTTGAAAATCTTTGGATTCAAGATTGATTTGTTGTATTACGATTTACGTAATTGAAAAAGTCATTTGTTTGCAGTTGATTTTTTTATTGTCACGAATTTATAACATTTCCAATAAGGTTTCTAGCCTTCAAATAAATCCCAAATGAAATGTGTCATTTACAACGGATTTGATTTCCAATTTCTTTGACTCAACAAATAAGGGGAGTTGCTTAAATCTATCATACTTGAAATTTGGGTGACAAATCAATCACACAAATCCAACAAGCGCATGAGGTTGAAGAGGCGCTATTGATCCATAATACAAAAATATATCATCAAATTACCATGCTAACAATACACTCTAGCAATGCACTCTTCGTATTGACAATGTAATAAATCCACTATCAATTCGGAGGTTTCTTTTGGCCAAAACCCTCAATTTTCAAATCCTTAATGGCTAATGATCCATAATTCAAAAATACATCACCAAATTACCATGAAACATAATAGATTCTTCAAATCCATCAGAAATCCAAAAGTTTATTTTAGCTAAAACAACCCCTTAATTTCTAGTATTGCATTATGTTATTCTTACTGTGAACATCATCATATAATGACTTGTAACAAATAAGTCCAAGTAGTATGAGGCTTATTTGTAGTCTCATGAAAAATTTAGCAAACTATATTACTAACAAGTTCGAGTAATGTTTAGTAAGCATGACCATGATGGCTCCTAGGCCATACCAGTTGGAAGTTTGTGTGACGCAGCCTTAATCTCACCTTGACTGTTACAATTAAGTTCAAACAAAACGATGCTATGTACAAAACAAAAAATATTTAAAACTTAAATATCGATTTCATATTATGTGAGCTATCAAGAACGTACTTACTAAGTACATTCCAATTTTCCTAGTTCGATTGACAGTTTCGACAGTGTTGTTAAAAAAAAACAATATAAGTCGTGTCACATGTTTGTTAACTAACACAACGTCACAACCATTAACCTACTCACTTGTCTACAAATATTGTTAACAATTTGACGTTTGCAAACGTTTACAAAAATCTATGCTTAAGATTTACACCGTTGTAATTTACCATTTACAAACTACAAACATGTTTTGTATAAGCCAAAATTGATAGCTAGATATGCTCTTCGACATTTGGGTTACAAAGGCAAGAATAAAAAGTAGTAAGAGCTACTAACCTGACAGTCGCTTCCCAGTTCTCGCAGCCTTGAGCCCCAACTCTAGCACCTTTGATGGAATGGAGAACCCCTTGGACAAGTTCTCCTTAGCAAAACCAGCAACCAACTTCTTACTCCTTTCAACTATATCACCACTATCCAGCTTCCCTGTTGTTGCAACCTTGTTTTTCCCACAGCCACCCGTTTTATGCTTCACTGTCAGTTCTAACTGATCACCTCCATCCTTCCTCTGCAGCTTCCTCTCAAACACCTGCGATCTCTGAAACTTACCAGCAGCTGAATCAAGAAGCTTTTCAGCCGTGGCTTCAACTTTGTGGAACCCTTTACCGCTCCTTGTCTGCACTTTACCCATTTCCGCATCCCTTGAGCATTCACCATTGACAAATTGGTGGGGGTTACTGTAGCTAGCAGAGAGCCCATTATTCCTGTTCCTTGTAATATCATTCGACTTCTCTTTCTTTGGCCATTTGAACTTGGGTTGCTGCAGTTCAACATCACTAGCTCTTTTGTTCTTCTCGTTCCTGCTAATTTGAACGTGCCCCGACTCTCCACGCTCCATTTTGGCTTTCTCACGGTAACCTGCTCTTTCATTAGATGCCGCCTCTGGCTCATCATTTTCATCCGTTTCCAAGTCTATCGCCGTCGGGGTTCTCGCACTCCCTCCATTCCTCGGCCGTTTGTTACCAGTTTCAGTACCACTAATACCTTGCGCAGCTGGGATTCTGGAGCTCTTCTTACCTTTCGACTCTTGATAGCCCTTTTCATTGACGACCTTGGACTGCTGGCCTCGGAATTTTCCAGTGTCTGAACCCTTGTCACCACCATGGTTGAAGCCATGTGGTCCAAACCCACCACCATAGTTGTTATGAGCAACTTGTTTCTTGTCCGAAATTTGAGCTGCATTCAACTTCTCACAAGCTGTTCTACCATACATCCTGACTTCAAAGTGTGATTCCACGAGGTCGAACACAACGAAGTCTCCGAGTACCAAATCATGATGTTTGACGAAATCACCCCACCCTTTTCCCAACGCCAGCGAACCATCTACTTTTGCCAACTCCACTCTCCACCGCCCTCCATTTGCGTCCTTGAGATATGTTCCTTGGCTCACAAACCCTGCTACCATCGGCACAAATTTGGGAGGAAAGAACTGCAGAGAAAAGTTTTTGAGTCAGTTCAACTGGTCCAGTGAAAAAAACAAGGGAAGGGGAAACTGGAACAGAGACCCGGATAATCTCACCAACAATTCAGAGAATCGTTCTCCAAACATGATCTTGAAGAAAGATGGCAAGCAAGGGTCTGTTTTTTTCCCTTTCCCGTGCAACAAGGAGCATCTGCGGCTGCATTCACTACAAGCCTTGCCGCTTCTCTCTCCCAATGAGCTCATCCTCTCAGCTCTGCCAATAGCTGAACTATGAGTTTCCTTGGTTTATGGGTTTCAACAAGTGTAAATGCTAGACAAATCCAACATCTTTGATATACCATTTGGGCATTTGATTATAATTGTTGAGAACAACAGATTCTTGAACAAGAAAGAAAACATCTTTCTGTGTTTATTTCTAGCGGAAGAAAGGAAAAACACCAAACAAATCACACAGGCAGTTCAGAGGTAAAGAACTGAAGATTACCAGCCGCTGCTGTCTGATGAAATCCCCTGTTTAGCTCTTTATCTCCCTGTCAAACTCTCAAGCTCTCTTTTTGTTTCATCAAACTTAACTGTGGTTGTTAGGTTGCTTTTCCTCTATGGTCTTTATTAGTTGTCCAGAGCAGAACTGGTGTATTTCCATTCATTGTTACTGATTTCGAATCAAAAGAAGAGACAAGGGGAGAGAGACAGAGAGAAAGCACATCTTTCTGTTTTGGGCAAAAATCCTCCTTGAAATAACAAATATGGACGTTTATTGAGAGAAAAACAGCAACCTTAAATGGAAAGAGAAGGACCACACCGCACCACTGATCAGATGCCTGTTCTGTTCTGGACTGGGTCGGTCACCCTGGATGGCTAACCAGACCAGACTAGCCTGCTGAAGCACCCACTCCTCCCAGCCAAGGAAGTTCTTGTTTTTCAGGTTTCTTGTTACCACTGTTTGCATATTATTGTTTTTGTTTGGCAAAATACATGGGCATAATCACAACTTTTGCCCTTTTGTAAATAATAGTCACTTTTGAATAATACACAAAATGACCAATTCCGTCATATTCTTTAACGGTGTTATCGTACAGTTTGACATGACAAACGAAAAAGCTGACTTAACAAGATTTCTCCAACGAAATCCAAGTGGATGAACAAAAAATAAAAACAAAAACAATGAATCTCACGCCCACTTCTCCGCAATCCACGATTTTGAGGTTGACCGCAGATAAGGGGACTAGTAGGGCTGTAAGTTTGACCCTTAAACCCACTGACCCGCAGGGTCGGGCTGAGTCAGTTTGTCTATAGGGTCAACTTAGGGTTGGGTCAGGGTCAGATAGGGTCGGGTCAATTTAGGGTCGGGTCACTTTTTGACCCTATGACCCTTAGCATCATACAAACATGTTGGACCTATTTGTAAAATTTTATAAGTTTAGGTACTAAATTGTAAAAATTAAAAAATTTGGGTACCAAAACGTAATTTTACCATCAAATTTTAGGGACTTATTTGTAAAAAAAATAAAATTTAGGTACTAAAATGTAAGAAAAAATAAATTCGGGTACCAAATTGTAATTTTTAGAAAAGTAGTCTATTTATCAGGGTCGATCCACCGACCCGACCCTTCCTGACCCGCCCCGATCCGAAAGGGTCAGACAGGGTCATGAAAGAAACAGGGTCGGGGCGGGTCAGTTATACATCTTGACCCTTCAGGGGCGGGCGGACAAGGTCAAGACAGGGTCGGGGGGGGGGGGGGGGGGGGGGGGGGGGGGGGGGGGGGGGGGGGTCGGGCCAATTTTCAGCCCTAGGGACTAGTGCTAGACGAATAAGAACGATGAATCCAGAAGCAGCAAAAGATAGAGCAGTCGCAAACGAGATGGGAAGAGGTCATCGCCGACAGAAATCGCTTCGATTTGCCCCCGATTACTCCTCTTCTTCTTCCCCCCTCTTGCTCGATCTGGCCTCCCCTCCTCTAACCTCTCGTCTCTGCTACACGAAAGTCGATATACATAGACGAATCTGGAATTGCTCTATATGCAATCTCCATTGAGATTTGGGTTTGGGGAAAATTCTTGGTCGACTGAAATAGAAAAGAAGGGTTGGGTTCTGAGAGATTTGTTTTCGTGGTTTGAGTGTCTTCCTGATCTGGCCGTTGTAGAAGATCTCGCCGATGAAGGAATGAAGCCACGACGAGGACACGGGGAGAAGCTGACGATCGAGGTGGGTTGCTGCTACTAGTTGGAAGAATGGGGAGAGGGTTGCACCTTCCTCCTCCGCCATTCTTCGATGTTGATCCCCTCCTTGCGCCTCCCCTGGATTTCAACGACTTCCCTATCCTCTCTTCTTTCCTTCCCTTCTTCCGACTTGGGCCATAGGCTTATGTCTTGTCACATTGTTTTGGAAGTGGATGAAGGTAAATCCGACGGCGATGGTCGACTCATTCGGAACCCTAGACAAACTATTATTTCCATGGAGAATGATGATGAAGAGATTCACAGAGGCTAGGGTTGGGGAACAACCATTGAAGGGGTGGAGCTCTAGTTATGATATATCATAACAAGTCGACGGGAGAAGTGGTGAAAGCCAAAGAGGGAGAAGGAAGATCGGGCTAGAAAAGTTGGTCGGCAACAGTTTGTTAGAGGAATAATGAAATGTTCGAGTTTCATTGGCGAGAGGGTAGTCGCCACCTCCGTCGTCGGCGAGCAATCTGAAGCGAGTTGATATGAATTGGGAAAAAATAAATAAATTATGATGTGGCATCTGCGTGGTAAGTTTGGTCGAGTTATCACTATCGTGTGCGTTGAGTTGACATCCTAGTCAGCACAACATTAACCTAATTGACAAGATCTTTAACACAGTTAAATTTTGTAATGAAAATGGCTAGATTTGCCATACATCCATTTGAATTTTCAGCTAGTTTGTGTAGTTATCAGAAAGTGGTTATTATTGCCACAAACACGAAAGTGTGGCTATACAAGTGTATTTTACCTTTTTATTTCTCAAGCCAATTGCTTTATCTGTAAGAAACTATCTTCTAGGGTGTATCGGTTCCGATTTTAGGCACCCATGATTACTTGCAACGAATAAGAATTTAGGGTTTGATAACAAGAATTAGAGATTTAAAGATAGAATTAAGGATTATGATAAGAATATGAGGATTTGGGAAAGAACGGCCAAAGCCTTCAGGAAGAAGGATAGACGAGATTGAGAGAGAAGAGAGTAGGATTTGAGAGATAATTTCTTCTTTTAATCTTTTATTTATTATTAAGTAAGAATCCACATACATATTTATAGAAAAATACCGGAAAACCTACTAATAAAACTAATAAAACTGTATCCCTAATGAGCCTTATTTAGCGGCCAATCTTCCCATAATTATTAGTAACCCTACTAGTACTAATAATAGGATAATGTCAAAGTGAGTTTCTAACAATCCAACCCCCTTGAAAGCAAACTTGTACTCAATATTGCAGTCAACTTTTACTTTCTTAATCTTCTGCTTTCTTTGTTTTGAGTTTCGCCTAATCCCACAAATGAACTCTTCTACAGCAACTCCAACATCCCTCGAATCTTCTCCAACTACGTGACGCATGTCATGTTCTCCATAGAAAATTGATTCCAAGGGCCGAGTCTCTGCCTCCCTAATGAATTCAACCTCCACAAACTCCACTTTCGTTTGCATCATAATTCCGCATCTTGAGGAATCCAAATGTACTATTTTGTACAAGAATCTATCCTTAATTATCAACTCTTCATAGCCCTCAAATTCCTTACTTGGATTTATCCCATTAGATTGCTTAGTTGGATCAAACCCCTTCTCTGGCTCACGCGAAGTACCATCCGACCCATGCGCTGACCCATTGGGGCCGACAATCCGAATGACAACGTGACCCAAGGATTCTGGATGTTGGGTGTTATGATCTAGGGTTGCAAAGAGAGGGTGGTAGCACCCTCCTTTGTTCCTCCTAGATCTGAGGCATCCCTCTTGGTGGGGAACTGCTTGCCTAATGCCCGACATGCAAGCCCGTCCCCGACGCAGTTTTCGATTCCTGCTGCCACTCCTACTTTGTTACACCCTTCGTTGGTGATCCTTCAACTTGGCGGCCGGGAGATATGATCGATCTATTGCTCCTTGTCTAAGATACGTTCATGTCATCAGTCGGTTATTTGAAGGATTTAGAGAAGTGGATATCCCCTTCCTTCTTTATCCATATTCATCCCCAACGTTGTCACTAGTCGTGGCATCACATGTGTGATTCAAAGCCCGGGTGAGTCAACCCCCAACGCGTCATCATCTCGACTCCACGATATCGATCGTTGTCGGTTGATGCCAAGAAGGAAGTCATAGATGATCATCGTGCTACTGTTGCGATTTGCAACATTGGCGAGTCAATCGGATGAACCCTCGGCATTTTGGCTCCGCGACTTCACTCTATCTTGAAGTTGAGGTCCGCCCACCACAAACGGATCTCCAAGCCCCCATTCATCTGGTTCTTGATAGAGGTACAATAGCCGGCAGGGTTGGAAATGTGACCACCGCTAGCAATTATGGATGATTGCTGGTCATGTGGTGGCGACTCAAGGCTCGCTTGAACAACTGAACCTGACTTTAGCACCGACTTATTGGCTCCATTTCTCTCTATACTGGCAGACTTCTTCTTCCAAAATTTCCAGTTCGCTACGCAACCTGTCGTGGTCTTTCTCTTTGCACCTTCTGCCTGAGATTCTCCTTCAGAATTTACTAAGTTGTCATGGTCAAAGACAACGGCCCAAGGAACGTGATTTCCTTCTTCTTTGACCACTACTGGGACAATCGTTCCGCCAGCTTTGCTCTACTTCTTCTACTTGTGTGGGGCAGCTACGACTTCAGTCGCAACATGTGGTGATGGTGGTGGTTGAATCGATGTAGTGGAAAGCATGTTCAATGTCAGTGGTGATTGTAGTGGCTCGGCAGTGACGACTATGATGGATTGAGCTATCATTGACATTGGCTTACTCTTTCCCTCTTCCGTTGGACGGTCTACAACAATTGGCATGACAACGATGTTAGCGCTGGATGGTCATAGTAGAAACGCAACAACCTTGAACTCATCTTTCCTCAAAACTCGTTTAGCTTCAATTCAAAATTCCTTGTGATTTCTCTGATTGAGAGCTCACTATTGGACACAACTCCGGTACGAGTTCTTGCAACCATGACTCTTATACCAATGTTAAAACCCCTCTTCTTGGTATCTCGATTCTGATCTTGGACACCATGATTACTCATTATCAATAGAAATTTAGAGATTGACAACAAGAAAGAGGGATTTAGATATATAATTAGGGATTAGAAGAAGAATATGGGGATTTGGGAAAGAACGATCAAAGCCTTTAAGAAGAATGATAGACGAGATTGAGTGAGAAGAGAGTAGGTATAGGATATAATTTCTTCTATTAATCTTTAATTAATTCTAACGTAGGTACCGCATACATATTAATTTTGAAATATACAAAACCTAATAATAAAACTAATGAAACCTACCCCTAATGGGTTTACTTAGCTGCCAATCCCCCCATAATTACCACTAACCCTACTAATAATAATTAGTGATAGCAATGGGGCGGGGCGGGTACCTCAATTCCCATGCCCCACCCCACGCTACTACGAGTCAGGGCGGGGCGAGTCGACCCACTCTGACATGTTATTTGAAAAATATACACGCAAAATTTTATTTTTACATAAAACAAAGGAGAAAACACTTTATAAAAGAAAAATGTTTATAATAGAATGGGTAATCGAGTCTAACTAGTTGAAATATTGACTATAACTAGTTGAATAAAAGTCAAAATAGGAGAAATAGGTATAGATACCGTAATAAATTGAGATAAAATGGGTCTAGAATGGAGCATGACAGGTCGGAAGTAGATACCCATGCCCCGTCCAATACTGCTGCAGGTCGAGTAATACCCACCCATCACAGGTCAAGTCGGGTAATACACGCTGGGCGGGTTCAAATTGTCATCGCTAATAATAATAGGATAATGCCCTAAGTGGGGTTCTAACATTATCCTTATCCATCACCGACATTGAGGTCCTTCTGCTATGACTTCTTGTCAAGGTGACAAGTATTTTGCACTCTTTGTTCATCGTGCTACTAAATTAGTTTGAGTGTATTTTCTTCTTCTTAACTCTCATCTCTTAGCAATTGCAACCGAATTTCTCAAAATGATTGAAGCAGAGTTTAAGTTGTACAAAATAATTAGATCAGATGAAATGGGTGAATTTGGTTCGACCCTAC